AGAGAGAAAATGAGAGAGAGAGAGAGAGAGAGAAAGAGTGAAAAAGACGCACGTGTCCCACGCGTATGTGTTTACCAACACGCGCGGCCACGTGCAGCGCGTGTGCGGCACGTGTCGGTGTGCATACGCATACTGACCGGTGCGGCAGGGAAAAATGGAGTTGCAACGGCGCGGGAGTTGCCGCTCGCTCGCGCGGATATTTTAATGCCTCGCCGGACGCTGTCGGAAGTGCAGTTAAAGCGTCGTTAACGTTAAGCGTAAATTATTCCACGAGCATTCCACGACACGCGGGAGAGACCTTAATACAGCATAGTTCACCAAGCAGGCTCGTCGCCCTTCGCGATTTAATCGAGTCAGCTCGATCGAATCTCACGTGACCCCACCGACACCCCGGAAATACCCCGGGCGTTGCGTGCTCCGCTCTTTTTCGGTTCTCCAAGACTGACGATACTTTATTATCGTCTTCCGCAGACGTCTTTATCCGACGATACGTACGCACGCACGTACGTACGTGGGCTTCCCTGGGAACGGTTACGAGATATTTGAGTCTCTATTCAAACCTACAGGCGACATACCAGGAACAATTTATTACCGGAAATTTCTTCGCCGTGTAGTTGCGTAGAACCGCACCTGGTTCCACGCCACTCGAAAGAATCGTAGACAAAGTCACGTTTTCATACGGAGGTCACCCGCCGGTGTGAATGACTGACGCCGACGTTCTGGAGGACACACCGTGTAGCGTGTAGTTATTTGAAAGTATAAAGAACGCTATGTTTGCCGGAATTTTATCATATGTATTTCCGCCGCTGCGTAGTAGCCCACAATGCCATGCGTAATAAATTAAAACGTATGATTTAAGAAAGACGAAATTTTTAAAAGCAAAAATATAATTTTATTATTTTTAAATGTGTAGTACATTTCTTATCAATTACTAATTATATTGTGGTTTATTACAAGTTTTAATGTCGTAAGATGTGCGAATTTGTAAACAAGTAGATAAAATTGTTTCGTTAATTCATGGTATTTTTCAGTAGGAATAGAAAAAAGTCGAATAAAATTCGGCGACTTCCAGACAGATCGCGTGTTTTTTTTTTAAAGGAACAATATATCACTATTATTTCTTTTTTTGTACATTCGTTTTTCTTAAACCAAACTGTAAAAAAAAATGCAGGATAATTTTAAACGACTGGAATTGCTAATACGTCCGACTCTGCCTGATTCCTGCGACTGATTCACTCGTGAGATATTTGCGGGTCGAAGCTGGTTCCACAGAAGATTTTCACTCTGGCCGCGGATGAGAGGATGGGCGGGAAAGGGGTAGAGGCGGACGACTTGTCCGAAAAGGATTTACGATCGGCAAAAACGCGCTCTCGCAGAATTTCGCCATCGCAGTCGGCCGACCGACCGTTCGAGGCGACGAGAGAGTCAGCCGGCGCTTCGGTCCTTTCGATTTCGTTCTCGTTGCGGATTGTAACTTCGATGCTCGACTCGCTTGCCGCGAGAAAAGCACGGCACGAAGATAAAAATAACAATTTTCGACGACCTCCTTGGCTGCCGAAAGAAGAAAGTCTGTTCGTCGTTCGGAGAGAGAAATTAATGCAATGGCCAACGTGTAATCTTAATCAAGATATGCAACGATAATGTGTAATTGTGTGTTAATTATTAACTAACACACATTTTTTAACATTAAATTTGTGAGATGTTGAGCTAAAGCAAAAAAACCTGTTCTAAAAACTCACAATTATTGCAATTGTGTACAGAAAATATGGAAAAAGTTGTAAATGCATATAATTTATTTAAACGATGAAGAAAGAAATTTTGTTGATCTTTTAATATTACGAGATCGTCTGATATAGCGTGATAATGAGACATGATGAAGGCGCCAAGTCTGCGTCTGTTTTGAAGAGGGCCGCGAACTACATCCTAATTTTCATGCATGCACAGTGCATACTGGTGAATGGCGAGTGTTATAGGGTCAATGGCGCGTAGAAACGGCATCGTAGTACCGTAAACAGATTCGTATTCTTAGACAGGATTTTAGGGGTCAGCCACCATACGCCGTTAAGCCATTAACGATGATATAAAATCCGCGCGCGACGATGTTCAGCAATTTCCGCGCTGTTTATTCAGTGTTGCTGGTAGATTGCACGGCGAGTGCCTGCCCTAGCAGTATTCTGCGACTGAAAATAGCAATTAATTCTGAGAACGTTTTAATCTCCTAATTCGTTAGTTTTTCATAAAATTTAGTTATTCATAAAATTAACAACTTGGAATCAAAACAATGATATACTTGGCAGTAGATACAGATATTATGGCTAGATATATGAGACTGCTTTTTCTATTTTGAAGTAAAGTATGATTTTGTTACTTCAGTGTCAAGATAAAATGTTTTTGAAATTATTAGATACGTTTAGTTAGCATTTATCTGGATAATATGTAGAAAAATACATACTTTTATGATATTTTTAAAAATATAGTTTTATTTTAATAGATAAGAAAATATTATATTCTGAAATAATATATATTTATTTATCTACAATAAAAAATATTATATTTTAATTTTCGAAATATTACTAATTTGCAATTAAAGTTATAAAAATGCCGTTATTTTTAAATAGAAAATACTTATCTTATGTCTGACCTGCATAGTGCGTATCTACTACCAAATTACAAGATGCGACACTTTAAATTTCTTACATAACTTACTTAAAGTTTATTTTAAAGTAAAAATACTAATTACTAGCACTTGTATCTTGATTTACGATCGATTTATGTCTTGATTTGCGTCGCGAGCACGTATTTTCGAGCGCGTAAGTCGGCGTGTAACTGCGAAGAAATCTCGAAGCGAAAGTGAGAACGTGTCTTCGCCGTCACACATATTCAGTGGCGTTCTAGTGCACAAACCTCCTACTCGCGCTGTCAGTGAAAACCGCCGGTGCGATAGCCCGTGGAATGGAACGCAAGGGAAATGAGGAAAATCGGGCACCGATGAAAGTGAGAGGACGCCGGCTACAGGGTGTCTCAGGCGGCTTATTCCGCAGTCGACCGCGAGAGAAAGGAGTTCACCTCTAATGGAGTGGCCGGTCCAGTCGGTCCGCGCGATCGATGGAAAACGAAAAAGGCGCAGTGGCGGCGGTTGACCGTTAGCAGAAAATCGAAGTTTCGGAGTCTCTTTTCATTGTCCAAGTTTCACAAAATACAACTGCGAAAGATACAGCCGTAACAGTGCATCGAAACAATCGAGGTTTTTTTTTTCGAAAAACGGAAAGGAATAATGGCGAAAAAGCCGTTAATGATTAGTTTGAAGTTTTGGAAATTTTTATTCTAGTTTTAAAATATATTTGTGAAAAATGCGATTGCAGCATCACATAAAAAACTGACATATTGAGAAATCAAAAATACATTACAATATAAGTTTTGATATTTGTACAAGTGAATAGCTGACTTGGAAAGAACAGCTTTTCGTAATAGAATCCTCGGAAAATATGTCTTACTTTTGTTATATATCCATGTAATTTTATTTATCGCACTAACAGAAAGTAAATTTCTCGCGTTCACTAGAATTATTTTCTCGCTACGCCCATGACCTAGACATCAGACCTACTTGCGGATTCTCGAAGGTAAAATTGATATGCGCGTTCTACACCGCACGATGACGAACGGATTAGATCGGAGAGTAACTTTCACGTTTGCTCTCACGCGTGATTCTTTCCTTTCTTTCCTTTATTTTTACTTTTCTTCAAACGTGCACTATGTGCTTTATTTGCTGGGCCGCGCGCGACCGCCTGAAGATTTCGTAAGGCGATTGTTCGAATGCGTTACGTCAACGGCGAACTAATTCCATATAATACAATCCGGCTGGGCCCGCGGTGCGGAGTCTAGTGTCGTAAAGCCTCACATTTTATACGCCGTAAGTTGTTCCGAATGACGTTACTTGCATCACGTCTGAACACCGCGCGCTTTTGTCCACGACCGCTTTTCGTCTAACTCTCGCGGTCATTATTTATTTAGTGTTACAAATAAATACGGGGAGAAAGAGGGAGGCTGATTCTTATAAAGCTTTCTCCCGGGTGACAGAGATTAAATAACTGCTGGATGCGAACCTGAAATTTGTGTTCGCGCTCGCGGAACAAAGCGAGATTTCGGGGAAGGCACGTCGGGCGATTTGCATGATTTTAGTTATAAATAATGCAGCGAGTAATGTATATAAGTTAGTGTGGCGAAAGAGATTACATCATCACTACTCCAGCTGCAATTAGCAAAATTTAATCTGCGTTATTCTTTTCGAAAATTTAAAAAGAATAGGAAGAAAGATATATACGTATTCACGCTGACGGGTTCGCGGATCCGTTCAGCTGTTCGGTATCATATACAGCGAAAAACAGAGTGAGACAAACATACGAGACAGACAGGCCCATTGGCAAAATGACGAGACCATAACAACACTTAAGGTTTCATTAAATATTGCTTTATTGAATTGCAGTCTCATAATCTTTTTGTGTCGAGCAAATTCAATACATACAATATAATACTGTACGCGCCGGATTATAATACAAATAAAAATCTTAAACAATCATTGTAAGCTGCAAGAAAAAGAAAGACTAACGTTGCTGGGGCTTAAAATTTAAATGTATTTACGTAAACAGTGATAGGGACAAAGCAAATTCCGGAAAGGTAAGGCAGGCAATGCGACGTTGAAATGTAATGATTCGACTGATAGACACTGACGCGTACGGACGTACTATGCTCGACGACTTATACTCGTGTATAAGATATTCGAATAAAATTTAAACCGGACTCAAAGACTTAAAAATTTGAAGACTTAGAAGTTTTAATACATTTTATAACATCGATACTGTCCAAGGTATTAAGATAATTAAAATCATGTTTAAAAGCTCGAGAGAAGTTGAAATGTGACTAGTTAGGTACTTTTTATATATATACACATATATACATGTATACATGAACGTTATCTAATAATTTTTTTCTTCTGATTACAGATTAATCATTCGAACGTGAGAGCTTTTTAAGCAGACAAAGGATTCCTCCGACAAGGAAGAATACCGGCCAGAGGGTGCTAAGGGGATAAAAGGAAGAAATAATCACTTTATCACGCGTATACAGAAAAAGTGAGAAATAACAATGGCGGGCGAGGACACGCAGATCTTGTCGAACGGTAACGTGGAGGAGCTCACGATCATCCCGCCGAAGATGACGAACGGAAACGGGCTGATCTGCGGCGACAAGCAGCACAATAACAACGGCTCGATACCGAATGGGAAGTTGCACGGCGGGATCGGCGGTACGGAGAACGGCAATCTGATCGTGCCGGATGAGAGGTCGAGCAGCCTTCATACGGAGTTCGACGACGCCGACGTGTCCTGCGGATGGGGCCCGTGCAGGCCCCAGTGGCTGCAGTACTTCGCTACGAAGCAAGCCTTCCTAGTGACCTTCTGTCTCACTTGGGTCAGTACGCCGAAGAAATTTTATAATTTTTTGAGTAAATAAATTTATTAGAAAATGGTATATACAATAGACAACTAGGAATAGAAGTAAAAGAGTAAAAAATAAAGTAAAAAAGTAAAGAAGGTAGTAATAACAATTTTAAAGAATATTATTAAAGTATTATGTAATTTTTCCCTGAAAATGAAAGACAAAGAATAGGCTTTTCTCTCATTTTTTTAACAATATTTTTATTAAACAAAATTTTGTGAAATCATTTTTATTCTTTTTTTTTTTCAATGCAGGTGCTTCAAGGTATGTACTACACGTACTTCGTCTCCGTCATCACGACAATAGAGAAGCTCTTCCAAATTCAGTCGAAGACGACAGGTATTATCATGTCGGCGACGGAGATCGGCCAGATCGGGTCCTCTCTGTTACTGACGTACTATGGCGGCCAAGGTCACCGGCCCAAGTGGATAGCCTGGGGCATGATCCTCTTCGCCGTGAGCTCGTTCACCTGCTCGGTACCCCACTTTATCTACGGCAAACAGCTGATTCTTCAAAACGACATGCTGGTCAGCGGCGTCGGGACCGGCGCTGAGAGCCGCGGGCCCAACAGCACGGATCCGATACCGGCGAATCTCTGCAAGTTCCAGGAAAGGAACAGCACGTTAGACGGGTGAGTGCCGCTGTCATAACTCTCCTTCGAGTTATCCTCTTCTATTTCTAAATTCTTAATGAGTGACGCCTTCCGACGATTCATCATAATGAAGAGAGATATCTTCATTAGCTTTTATCCTTCGTGATTAAGTAATAGCTAACTCGACAGTCGTGAATCATCAAAAACATGAGGAATTAGAATTTATTAATCGCAGTTACAGCAAATACGAATATGAAGGAGAAATCAAATTATTTGAATTATTAGCAATTGTTACATTATCAGATTAAATTAATTATTCAGTTTATTTAATAAAATTACCGGTTCAATTATAAATATTAATGTAACTATTGATTTATCCATTGATTATTTTAATCCGGTTAACAATAATCAGTCATGATTTGTATTTTTGACAAATTTACTTCTCAATTAACAAACTAGAATAACTTGTTTGTTTACTTGTGGGAATCAATGCAGAAACGTTTATGGTACAGTTGAGGGAAATTTACGATCATCGCGTTATTACAATTTCTCGCGGAGAACCAGGGCGGCATGCAAACGATCAGCTGTGTTATCGTTTTGGGCGAGATACAATAATCGTTTACGTGATAAATACACAATGTAAAGCGGAATACCGCCAAAGTAAGTATGCAGTTTTGCCTCAAACTCGTATTATACAAGAACCGGTTTGTCGCATTTCTGCAGGACGAGTTGCACTGGCGGTTCATAATCCGAAGGCAACTAATGAAAAACGAATTGCGCGTTTTACATTACCACAAAGATCCTTTAGACAGTTGCACGTTTTCGGATAGAAATTACCTTTTTATCGTCGGAAACAGTTACGGAAATAGAAAATAGAGAATAGAACGCGTTGTAAATGAAGGACTATGTTAAGACATCTCTTAAGAAATGATAAATGTCTAATTTATTTATAGAAGACACATGCGTTACTTTTAAATAGCTCGAGGAGAGGTTCAGCTGAAAGACTTTTAAATCAGTTCAAAGAATAAATTATGTTAAATCTTTTCAAAAATGATTCTTTTGAAAAGATGAAAACATGCAACGCGTGTATTATTTTTACGACATGTATGTTATACTAGCGACGTAATGTATTAAGAAGATAAATTTTCATATCAAAGAGAGAGAGAGGGGGGGAAGAGAGAGAGAGAGAGAGAGAGAGAGAAAATATGATGACGTGTTTGGTTAACAAGTGAGAAAGTTTAACCGATGATATCGTTTTCTGATAGCAGTAATTATAACAACAGACTCCATTCTTTAAGAAGCGCATCTACATGTACTGTAATTTTGTTGTTACATAATGAAATCATCCATCGGCCGAGCACAATAAAATTTTACAGCGCGGCGGGCGGAATGCTCGAACTGACCCACGCAGTTTTGATGCGGTATTAAACTGGAGCAATGTCGATTACATTTTTCTTGGTATCGCGTGTATGTTGCAGCTGCGCTTATCATTTTATCGTAAAGAAAAATGATCGTATATTCCTTTCACGTAGGTGTTAGTTTCCTGTACTTCCGGAAATAGTTGATAAATAATTTTAGTATGAAATAAGAGTTATCGGCAAATATAGCGATATATACTGTATAAGATAATTTGAATAATTTAACGTTTGCAGAGTGAATAATGAGATCATAAAAATCATTATATATATATTTTTTTTTTAATTTATTAGTTAAAAAAGTATATATATAACAAAATTTTATTGTCAATGCTAGATCTCGTAAAGATCTAGATTTCATAATTTAAAATCTTATTACTTTATCATAAAATAAGTTTAATTTTTCTAACTAGATAATATGTATCTCTCTGCCGTTCGTTTAAATGATGCAGTAGATGTGTGTACTCTATGAGATGCCGTCAATGATTAAATAGACGTAGTAAATAAAATAATATTTTATGTTGCCTCAATTTATTATATTTTTTTCTTGAAGGTGGAACATATCGACAACCACACCCCAAACCGATTCGTCTGAATATTGCAAAGGTGACTTTCTTATGGAGCAGAGAATACAGAGCAAGATTACCACGGTGGTGCTTGCGATATTTTTTGTATCGTTACTCGGTGTTGGAATGGGTCAAACGGCGGTATATACCCTTGGTATACCGTATATCGATGACAACGTAGCCAGCAGAGAAAGTCCCTTATATTTTGGTAAGTTCTCTTCATCAATTCGCAAGTTACTATCTTTATGCTCTATTTTATTTTATTTTATAAATATTTTATTATAATAGATTTAACATTTTTTAATTAAAAAAAAATGATTTAGTTATTTACTTCTACTATTCGAAAATTTATGTTTGTTAAAAACAATATATCTTTTTTACATATAGATTACTTTTTCAATATATTATTATTATTTTTGTAGTGTAAATTAAAAGATTAATTTTTCTTTTTTATGTCTGCGAATCACTATTTGAAACTTTCATAGATTTAAGACTTAAACAATTATTTGATTATGTGCAATAGCGATCACTATCGGAGTACGAATTCTGGGTCCAGCGTTAGGTTTTATCCTCGGTTCCTTGTGCACGAGAGTCTACGCGGATCTGTCGAGAAATCCGCAGATTACGCCATCGGATCCAAGATGGGTCGGTGCTTGGTGGCTTGGTAAGTTCAAATAAATGATAATACTGAAATTGGAAATAATAATTAATTCAGTTTTAAAGAATAAAAATAACGTAAAAGAAATACTCCGCGCTCGAGAGATTTTATTTTAAGTTTCATATACTATTGACTATATCAACTTATCAGAATTCTTTATAAAGCGCTTAACCTTCGATTTAATGTGGAGACACAAAAAGATTTAAAAGTCGCTTGACCTTCATTGGTCAAATTATGTAGTTAGTATGACAAATCTATCTACGTTTGTCGGGAGAGCCGACAATACCATTAGCCGGATTTCCATTGGTTTCTCGCGCTTGTTTTCGCATCGAAAGACACGTCTGGCGACATAAAAATAATTCCTTGGACGTGACAAAAATCAACAAACTAGTTCGCTTTTTTACATTAAGTTTTTCTATGCAATCGCATTGTTCATTAATAAAAATGCTAAGGGCCGTATTAATTGTATAAAAATATGTATTCTAAAACATATTTATTATTATATTTCATTTAAAAAATATATATTACATAATCTATTTATATGAATATTATTATAATATATAATTTTACAATAATAGAGCATGCCAATTATCCGGACATTGATTATCCGAATTATCCGAATCTTAAAAATACATAAAATGTATTCAATGACTAATTTTAACAGAGATAGTGCAATTCTATGTTTATTAATAAATTTTTGCTTATTTGTACTTATTAATAATTATTATCAAATCATTGAATTCATTCCTAAATGTTTTATCGTTAAATAAAACTGTACATATATAAGTAAAATTAATTAACGTATTCGTGTTTGAAAATATTAGCAAATATATATACAGAACTTGACGCAAGAATTCATATGTGATATCTACATTGTCTATTTGTACAGTATATGATACAGCGTGAATAAACACAAGATGACCCGCGTAGCACAAATAATAACAAATTGTTCTAAAGGAAACATTAACCGCAGTAACCAAATGTAGTAATAGTAACAGTACAAAGATCCAACAGCATGATACACGTATGTATAAGCGGGATTACAGAAGCAGAAATTGTTTGGATGCATAAGAATCATAAATTGGTATACGAAATTGCTCGTGCGATAAAGTTACCAATAACAACAGTTAAAATTATAGTTTGCAAGTATGAAACGCGACAAGAAGTAAATGGTGTTATACAAGCTATTCTTAATGCAAAAGAGTTTGAAGCATATTGGGAAAGAATATTTAAACAACTCCATATAAAACTCCGTTTTAAGAAAGTTTCCGATTTCCGGAAATGTGTCAATATAATAACTTGTAAGTTAAAATACTTAATTATATAATATATAAATGCTTATTATATCTTATATAAATGACGTAACATATACATACACACACACACACGCACAACGACAGTTTTATTTGTCCGGATAATTGGTGTTTTATTGTGCTTGCAATTTGCCATTGTGAGGTGACTTTGTTTATTTTTTTTCTTTAATTATAAGGAACTTCTCTCTTTCTCTTACTGATTTTTCATGTATGATTTTTCAGGACTAGTATTAATCTCGGCTATGCTAATGATGGTCAGTATAGGTATGTTCGCATTTCCAACCCGTTTGCCAACAAGCCGAACGTCCCCTCGACGAACGGATTCTCAAAAACCCAGTTTGAGAGGTAAGTCCTGATTTATTATTTGAGAATGCCTCCAATCTCTTTCGTCAGGTTAGTCGCCGTTTTAACTGCACGCATCGGATCTCGCGCCAACTTAATCTGTTTTTATGGCTCACCATAAGCTGCTTTGAGGCAGTTCTCGTCTCTCTTTCTCTCATTATCTCTTTCTCTCTTTTTGCCTCGAGATTTCCCGTGCGAACGATTTTGTGGACGAGTCCTCGGGAGCAAGAAGGATAACAGGCGGAGCGTCTTGCTCGTTCCGCTGTGATATCAATTTATTCTCGTTGCCATAACGTGCACGTGTAAATTTATCCCGTGCTGTATAGATCTTCGCGTTCGCGGCCGTGCTTTCTTTTTCTTCTTCGTAATAATTGCAATCTGCGGTATCTCGACATTTAATGATGGTTTTACCGGCATTTATAGCGAATTGTAAGTGTGATAACGTTGTACGCAGCCGCTGTGCGAATAAATTGCAAGGAAATAAGGAGTTGAAAATTTGATTTGATTAGAATTTATCCGGGTTTGAAAGATATGTAAATATGTATTAGACGAGATCTATTTATCAGTTTCTTACGAATATTATCTTTTTAAATGCTTGATTGTTATGATTCACATTTGTTCGGAAACGCAAAAATACATTCTTTAATCATTATTTCATATATTTGCGCGATCTTACGTAAGTCTGGAAAATATAAATTATGTATGTTCTCATATGCCATTTATATGCACAAAATGGCATACGATAAAGTACAGTAGAGGAAAATAAATACTGAAAAAATGGATACTGATATGAAGGAAAAGCGGTGCTTTCACATGATTGTCGATTATATTTCTACGTTGACGGCAAGTGTTTTTGTTGTTGCGCTGAAAGGTTCGCGACGAAAGGCGAAATTCTACATGCCTACCACTTGCCATAGTGTCGCGGATCGAAGGCTAACGAGAATGCAAATAGAAGCCGGAGACAATGTGCTCTTCGTAAGTTAATCGGGAGCTCGCGACGAGCGATTTCGCCTACGGCTCGAATAATGCTTTCTCTCACATACTTATTTACATTGCGCATCAAGATAATAATAAATCGGTGTGCCTTGAACGATAATTTTCGTCAATTTGCTTGTGATTCGTTAATACAATTTTTCGTCAATAGAAGGGTTTTCATTTTATATAATAATTATAGAGAAGAGAGAGAGAGAGAGAGAGAGAGAGAGAATAGAAATAAAAAAGTGTGAGGGTTATTAAAAAACAGGGACTTCTAATTATTACAAACTGCAAACAGCATTATACAAAAATCTTTACGTATAACATAAAACATTTATTTCCAGACTTTTTATTTTGTAAATAATCAACTGTTTCGCTGCGGAAAACTTTGGCTTTTAAGTTAAGGATACATGTTCAATCTATAACAACCCACGCGTTTAAATCGCCTCCATTCTCCAATAACGATCGAGACGCAACAGGATGAATCACTATGCCACGTCCGCAGCTGCATCGATATCTCGCGCGAGTTCCCAATATTGGTCTCGTCGCCGTCGCGCAGCGACGAATAATGCATTCATACGATTCTATCTATGCGCATAAAAGAAGGAACGGAGCGATCGGGCGATCTCTGAAGCGGTAAGCCTCCGGCGGTCCAAGGTCAATGGCGGATCTAGGTGCCGAGCGGAGAAAATCGGTATCGCCTCTGCCTATAATATATGCGGGTCCAATCGGGAAAGTACGGCTCGCGAGATTTACAGGTTTCGACACGCCTGTAAAAAAAAAAAGTTCGGTGCGCGATTAGGCTCTCTCCGTGGAGAATCGTCTCGAGCGACTCTCTCGCGAAATTCGGCGACCGTGAATAATCAGCCTCGTCCCTGATTAGATTTCTGCACGTTTGCCGATTTTTTTTCCTTCCTCGATGTTTCCAGCTGAACTTGTACTGCCAGTAGAAGAGGCTCTTTGAAGATGGTGTTTCATGCTTCGTTTGCGATCACCTTGACCTGTTTAATCCTTTGATTTCTCTTAAGCCGCTCAAAATGTATTAACGAAAATTTAATACATTATCCAATTATTGCGCGTTTAAAGTCGTTATGTTGATTGCACATATTAATAATTGATTCTAGAATATTTTGTCGAATGGAAGGTCGTACTAGAAATGTCTTACAACAAAAACCTTCTTTGAAAGAGATATTAATTTGAATATTATATTTTTTGCAGTTAAGAATTAGAGCTTTTTGCAATTGAATTTTTATCTTGGAAACAGAATTTCTACTGTGATATTCCCTCTAACTCAACGTTCATGTATCTTATTGATGAATAATCGTGTTTTAAACATTCCACATGATTTTTTGTAATGCAATAGTAAGGAGTTAGAAAGGGTAGACGCGTCAGAATAATTTTTACAGTTCATATAATTTTAAAAAGGGATACAAATAGTATATTTCCATTACATTTCCCAGACAGTTTTCTGCATGATTTCCGAAACGCTTCGTCTCAATTACCGCGTACCGAGTTGCTGCGTAACTAAGCGAGAACTTAGCTCGTTCCGACGTCGAAAGCCCTGAAATCGTCGGATGCTCCTTTAACGGACCCTCGCGCGCGGACGGTGCGTTCACGCGTGCGTTCGCGTAAACGGCCGCGTGTGTTGCGTGCGTGTACGCGCCGAGAGCGCACACGCTGCCGCCGCCGCCGCCGCCGCCGCTCTCTGCGTGTGTGCGTTAATAATAATGACTGACCGACTCGTGCACGAGGTGGGGCAAGTTCACGGTCACGCGTCGTGCATAGAGGCGGTGGTGGACACGCACGCGCGTACGTTTTGCGCGTGTACACGGACTAACATGCGTGTGTCTCTCACTTCGGATCTTTTCTCTTTTCTTTTCCTTCCCCTTCCTTTTTTTTGCGTTCTGTGCCCTGTGTGTTCCTCTCGCTCTCTTCCTCTCTCTTTTGCTCATCTCTCTCGGTCGCTCTATACGGAGTGGGTTCGCTACGAGCCGCATTACCAAACACCGTCGCGCTTAATTCGGCGGATCGCCTACGTGCGAGCCTTTTTAATGTCTAACTTTTAACCCGTGTCTCTTCTAATGTTTTATTTATTGTCGGACAGGCTGTTATTTTGTTTAAAGTGAGTTGCCGTGCCTTCGCATATTTATAACGAATATTTTATTGCCGCGTTTTAGATGCTAAATTTATTTCTGAACGTTTTACGCGTATAGCTGTAAAGATCGAGTTATACAATTGCAGGAAAAGATCGCGACATCGAAAAATTATAATTACCGCAGTTATAATAAATATATTATATAATAGAAAAACTAGATATGTTGAATTCGATTATTAAATTTGGAAAATACATTTAAGCCGTCCTGGAGTATTTGAGTCTCACCGAGATCGGGTTTACGAGAGTATAGATACTCCAATCAGACTCAATTGTTGTCCAACTATTGTGCAATCATTAGATTTGATGAGTGCAGACATAAAATAACATTTATTCGTCTATACATATACATACATATATATATATACGCTCTCCCACCGATCGCATCGATTTACTAGTGTCTCTCGCGTTAATCACTAACTTAATGGAGTTAATGATTGCAAAATCGGTGAAGTGAAACATCTGTCAGTAACAGGATATATTTTTGAATATACGATAGCGATCGGCGTCTCACGTTCGAACCTTTAAAGGGTACTCTATACGTGCGCGGATAATACTCGGAGCGCAATGTTAGTCACGTTTGTCTACTCATGGTCTGTGGGACGTCCCTATGCGGAGTTGCCACGACGGGTCTCTCCTAGCTCACTGGCCTCTCACGGGTGCCTAGAAGACTTCTAGGCAGTCCTAGGCATATAGCTGCGTTTGCACGCACAAGGTTACGCATATACTATACATTTTCTACAGTACCGTGCGAAAAAGACGCTCGACTCGTCCGAGTAGATAAATTAAGTCTTCTCAGCAGAAGGAGACCAAAGGCATTTATTTAGCTTCTCTTTGAACAAATTACAAAGTGATTAATCCGAATTTTTAAGTGACGGATTTCTTTTAAATTAAAATTTCATAGATTTGAAAAATGTAAAGAGAGCGATTACGTAAAGTTGAAAATATTTTTTCATAAGTTTAATTCTTGCACAAGAGATGAATTTTTTTTTTAATTATATGATGTTGAAAGATTAATAGCCAAAAGCATTCCATAGCACTTAATGTTAAAATTATTGTATTAATTCTAAAATGCTAAATTTAAATTTTTTTAATGCTACAGTGTAGATAGAGACACGTTTTCTATTTTATGACGAATACCATCTATCGAAAGCGAAGAGAGAGACAATCATATTTTCATTAGAACCGACTGTAAATTGATTTGAAAGGTGTGTAAATGTGTCTGTCGAGCCCCTTGAGAATAATTTTGTGTATCTTAATCGTGATAATGTCGTTCCCTTAATCGCCAGGGAACTAGAATGCTGGTGAACTATATAGCTTTCTATAGAGTCTATACCTATAGATTTTAATGAGTCAATACGTTCGGTTGGCCGGGCGATGTATCTTCGTCTGGCCAAGAGCGCGTGTAAAAATCTATGCGACGCATCGATCTTCACCGGTTCGTACATTACGTTTGATTCCGGTGAAACTGCCAATAAATGTAGTCGTTGTTATCGTTAATGATATAAATCGCTTGGAATCATTGGCGAATCGCTCAATGTTTTATAACACAGAATCATACTGCACGGAACCTCGTCCCTTCCTCCTTTTCTCGGTGCAGCCTCTTTCTCCGTCCTGTTCTCATCTCGACCATCTTCGAACCCTTTCGTATCCTCCCGAGGAAGGACGAGGAGAGACTCGATTGCTGGCTAATTAGCTCGCCCCTCGTAATCGAGCTCGTAAATATACGGCGGATCGGTAGACCCGGCAACTCTGTCAGATTCACAGAGGATGAGTATATACGGCTGCTGCACAGCTCGTAGGGACAGAGGGATCAGGCGAGACCGGGACCAATAAGAGATAACCGTGGCCACGCGTGCATCTCTCGCCTCGCCGCGATGCATCTGCGGAGCCGGATCGCGACTAGGACTATCGCTAAGCCCTGCGTAACCTTCGCCCATGAAACATGTAACACCTCGAGTCGATGACCCGTATACCCGTTGTACATTAATACAGTGATCTGAGATCTCATTTCTCTCATTTGCCTAAGAGACATAATTAATAGGATGTTTGACAACGAACTTTTGAAAATTTTGAAAGGACGTAGCGTTCAAATCAGGTTTTGTCTGTTATCTGATATCTTATATATGCACGCCGATTGATTTATTGCTATTGGGTTGTTCGATAGATTTATATCTATTTTCCAGCGATTTATAGACACGAGAAAGATAAAACGCAATTTACATTTTAATCGATGATAAATATTTCTTTATTACTCAACAATGTCACGCCGCAATTCCTCTTTCGCTCCACCTGTGTCGGAAGTCGATGACAACTTTAATGAACACGCAGGAGCTTACGGACTGATCTGATATTTATTCCTGCGCCCACACGCACGCATTCCTGCATTAATACTTTGACTGTTACTGTTGCAGATTTCCCCAATGCTGTAAAAAGGCTCTTGAAGAACGATATTCTGATGTTCCGAACAGCAAGTAGTGTGTTACACATCCTGCCGATCGCCGGTCTCTACACCTTCCTGCCAAAGTATCTCGAGAGCCAATTTCGCCTACCGGCTCATGATGCGAACCTGATCTCAGGTAATTATCGCAAGTGAACATGCGAACTCCGGGAACTCCGAAACGTATCCCCAATTATATTACTATATATAATGACATGCACACCGTGAGAGATGAATCGTGTCCGGAATAACAGCGACGACGTCGTTCCCGAAAGATCGGGCGGGCGACGTCGCAAGATTTCGCCGCCGGATGTCCGTCGCGATTACGAAGCAAAGTGGATAATTTGACGTAAACGTCAGAACGGTCGTGTCATTTCGCTCACGAAAAAAAAATTATTCTCTCACTTTGTCCGTCGTACAGGAAGTTGCGACAAAATCTGTCGGCCAATCAAACTGAATAATTTGGCAATTATTACTCACGCTGCGTGCGACTTAAAGAAAACGTGTAGTTTGCAGCGACATTACATATTTCTGTGTTACTTTTTTCAGATTTTTATTTGAAAAATATTAATTAGACTTATAATTCATAAATAATATTAAAACGGCGTAAAGGAAGATGTTGCTAGCAGCCACGATTTGGCGTGCAACGATAATGGATAGTTCGATATAAACGGTAGAATGAACTCGCACGTATCTCGGTATTAATTGTACGGTATCTTATTTTACGTGCATTGCGCGTGCTAATTTATGATATTGTCCGCCGAATAATTGGCGCCGGCTGTAGAACAAGGCTGCGCTCCGTTTCTACATTCTATTTCCCGTCATTCTATGCTCGCTCGAGTATTAAACTATAGTCGTCGTACGTTATTATTGAATTTATTATTTATTTTTATTTACTTTTTCTGTATTTGCTGTATTATCTAATAATTAAAAAGATACATTATTTTATTTTTATAATAGATTGAATGAAATAAATTGAATAATAAAATTTATTTTATATATTGAATAAAATATCGGTTGAATTATATAAAAAATTCATAATAATATGCAGCTATCAATTTTTTTAACGTAAATATAATATAATATACCTACACCTCATACATACTAATTAGTGCATCTGTGAATCTGGGAAAACATTGGTTTTATCTGAGGAACGTGCTGATTTTTTATTAATGAAGTCTATTTTAATGAAGTCACTATCGTCATTCTTGAGTTCTCATGACTAGATTATGACGCAGAGCACGAATCGCCAGGTGAATGGCTCTGAACGATCGTATAATGAGCGCGATTTTTTGCGCAGGTGTTGGCGGAATCCTAGTAATGGGATTGGGCATCATAATTAGCGGCGTGTTTATCTTGAAGGCGAAACCCAATGCCAGATTTGTCGCAGCCTGGATCGCCTTCACCGCGATCGTTTACGCGATCGGTATGGGGGTGTTAATGTTTATTGGTTGTCCGATGGACGACTTTGCCGGACTCGTGTCACATCCCGACGGGTAAGTGATTTCATCGCGTCTAGCAAAATTTAACGAACCGTCGCTCCAATAATTACGCTCGACGCGGATGTCATCGAAAAGAGTCATTACATTACGAATAAATAGATAAACTTATCGGCATACAAGCATATATTAAGCGAATTAATATATTACAATTTATAATTTAATAGGTATTAGCATAATTGAATGTCAATGAAATCATTCAAGCATTCTGTTAATTTTACAACTAGTATTAACAATAAGACTAGTATAAGAATGACAAAGTATCTAATAAATATCTAATGAAATTATGTATTTTAGTTTTAAATAGAAGATAATTTTTTTTTAAACAGGAAGTAGAGAAAAGGACAGAAAAGATATAGAATAATATTAGCATTCGCAATTAGAATTCAAGCATTTTTAACGTGGACTTCACGTTCTCAGATTCAGTGCAATATGTAACATGAATTCGTTTTGCATTTTCATATTCCTTTTGATAATATTGTCGCTTGATGGTGTTTTCGAAAGCGCTCGACTTATACTAGTAACATCGTCGAGTTTACGAAACTGTCGCGATTGCCATTTCGCGTATTCAAACACGCGCGGCCTGATGGACGACAGCCAGTGTTTAACGAAAGACAACGTGTTCGAATGCGTGTCCGATTAGAATGCGCATCGTAAATACATGTATCGAAAACGCGCGCGGAAACCCTCTCCCCCCCTTCCCCCTATTTACAAGTCAACGATATCTCCTGGTTCCCCTAAATACATACATTTCGTGCTCTTCCGATTCGGGCTCCTCGTTTATCTGCTCGGCGCGACGCGAAAGCGGGAAAACCTCGACAGTGACTTTGTGCAATCTAGAGCACCATATCCCATCGAGCGGAACAAACCGTCATATACCATGGTCATTTATTAAACGTAGGCAAATGCATTTTCTTTTAACAGTAAGGATTTAATTGATTTTAAACACATAACTCTTGATAATTAATTCTTACGCAATAAATAGTAAATTACTGAACAGCAAACTATTCTTTAAGAATAATTAATTAAAGAAAATATTAATTTTAAGGCGTTTAGTTTAAAACTTTATTCATATTATTCAAATAAGACTACGCATCTAACAATTTCTAATATTTAACTGGGCCATTAAACCGGACTTGTTGAGCCCACGTTTTTCTTGCTTAAACAAGATATTTAATGCGTCTATGATAATTACCTATTTATTGAGCCAGACTGTTTTTCTCCATCTAATTAACTTAATGAAGATTAGCTCTCTTCAATAATTAAATAAATGCATTTTTGATCAAACTTATTAATCCATTTTCATGTCAGGACGAATTATCTTGAGTAAGCAAGGCAGACGGTTAAATTAAGTGAAAATGAGACATAGTTTAGTTTAACGCGGGGCTGATCTGTGAACGACTTGTTTTGGCAGACTCTCTAGCTTCGAGCCGACCTGTGAGGCTACCTGTGACTGCGATCGGAACAAATTTAGTCCAATTTGCGGCGTCGACGGTAGAACGTATTTCTCTGCGTGTCACGCGGGCTGTTCGAATTATACGGTTGCTGACGGCAAAGTGGCATCGGTAAGTGCTAAGCCCGGTAGAACCGGCACCCGACAGGACATGCTCTGATGACATATCTGCTCGAGTGAGATTACACGGGACACGATGGTAATTGAATCGGTCGTCAGCTTGGAAACACCGTAAGACCAAGAATTGAGATTGTTACAAAATCATGCAGAGATCCACGCGAATTTGAAAGATTTCTCGCCTCTGTTTTCGAAACGATGATATTTAGATAGCGTCACGATAAGTAAATTTGAAGATAATTTTAAGCGCACTGTTTTATTCGATATTTCTTGAATCCTTAATAATGAGACTTAATTCTCCGAGCATAAATATATCCATCGAAACTTCGTTTTTTCAAGGTGAAATATTATTCGGCGATTGCGATACGTGAAGCGCGACAAAACTATGATCTTCGCTGCGACTTTCCTTTTCTGACAATATTATATTTGATATTTCGCAGTTTTACAATTGTCAATGCATCGGACAGAACGTAACGATATTACCGGAAGCAGAAAGCACAGCGTCGATCGGTTACTGTCAACTGGAATGCAGTAACTTTTGGGTTTATATGATCCTGTTCTCGGTCTTCGTTTTTATACACTCCACGAGCGAGGTGGGCTCAATGTTGCTCATTCTACGATGCGTAGATCCCAAGGACAAGGCCATGGCACTCGGTCTGATACAATTCGCCATCGGGTTGTTTGGTAATTACTTACTGAGACATCTTTCTTAATAATAGAAATAGAAACTGCGACGTGAATCTTTGCAAGGGAATTTCCCTTTCAAATAAAATGAGAAGGCAAATAAGTAATATTTTATATATTACTTAATTTTTTATTTGAAAAATATTATAATAATTAATAATGCTATTTGTATACAGATTTTATAATTTGATAGTCTTCATGTAATTTTATGAATTGAAGAAAGTATAAATATATAGAATAAATCGACGTAGCAAACGAATTGAAAATCCTTAATTTCATTGTTCTACAAATGTCTTTTTTTAACAGTAATATAATAGTATCTTTATTTCTTCGCTTCAGGCAATGTTCCGTGTCCTATCGTTTATGGTGCTGTGGTAGATTCCGCTTGTCTCGTGTGGGAATACGCTTGCGGTGAGCGAGGCGCCTGTTGGCTTTACGATTCAAACGTCTTTAGAATGTTCTATCACGGTACGTATGCAAAGATGTGTAAAAAATGTTTTATATGTACTAAAAATAGAAAAATAAATTAAGTAATTTTAATAATTAGATTATTTACAAAAAAATGTTGCATTGAATTTCAACATATGTTGTACATTAGTTAGTAACATATATTTTTTTATCTGTTGTAATTTGAGAAAAATATGATACAAAATATACATAATTAAAATAAATAAATATAGATGAATGAATTAGGCAGAGAGATCGCGAGAAAGAATGCATTCTTTAAACTTTAAACAATGGCAAAATTTGTAGTGTTGTACGCTGGATATAAACACAGATTATGTAATATATCGATTGAATGTTTCTTTTGCAGGTACAACAGGCGGAATTCTCATACTGGCCTTCGTGGTGGATATAGTCGTCTGGTACAAGGCCGGGAGCATAAGCTTCGTGGAGGAGCAGGAGGGTGAGACAGGTACTGCGGAGGAAATGGCGACGTTAAACTCGCAGGACGCTCAAGCGGTCGAGAACGACTATTTGTGAAGGTTTCGTATTACTCTTTTGCGGTGAAGGGCCGCGACGGCGACATTATCATCGTCGTCGTCTAAGGATGCAACGCAGTGTCGTAGGATACGTAGGGGCATCGTCCTTCACAAATGGTGCCAGTACAGCTCGTCGTGCTTCCCAGAGACGGCTTTCCTAGACGGAAAGATCGACTTGCCGGCGATTACACGCATCAGAATGGAACTTTCTTCGAAAGAGTTCCGTTTTGATGGGCAGGAAGTCTAGTCCCTCTTATCGGCGGCATCCGAGCATAAAGAAGCACACTTTGCGTGATTTACAGGAAGACTGATATTGAAGGACAACTCGGATGATTTTGATTCGGTAACTCGGAGAACCAAGGCTCAGTTAAGCGATGAGGAGAAAGACAAATTTGAGTAGAGCATAAAAAAGTAATCAGCACGGGATAGGGAAGACACGGAAGAGAGGGGAGACGTGAATACTACTTCGTCTGAGCATCCACAACGTAATATAAATCTCTCGAGTGCGCCTTGGAAAAGTTAGTAGGGTTTCTCTCTCAGGGAGGCTTGTCAGTAAGTACACGCAATAAAAGTAATACTTCCGTGCCTACGAAATGACCGTGCTTGCGGCGAGCACGCGGTCCGCCGCACCGATAGATCCGGGGAATCGAATCGAATCAAAGCACACGAGCAGCCTCGCGGGTGGCAGTGAATGCGGTTCGCATGGACAGACAGTGAGGGATTGCCTCGTGCTTTGCACCGGCGTTGATTAGTATATGACGGCGTTCCCCCGCCGCGCTCGCGCGCGTGCACGCGTTATCTAACTCTCTAACGGTAACGTTCGTTTATCGTGACGCAAAAGGAAACGCGGGGCAGTTATATAGATTGTAAATGTTTTTTTTAATAAACATTTTATTACAGAACTAGAGATTATAATCAAAGCTGAAGAAATTAGTGTACTGATATTTAATTCGTGGCATTAAATATATAACCCAATATTTCAGTCATAACATTAAAAGAATAACAAAATAACGTTTAACTGAAACGTGATATTGTAAAAAAATTTAATGATTATAAAAATTAGAAAGTGTTAGAATATAATTTTTAAATATATGGTGCTATATATATATATAAATTTGAGTGGCAACTAATTAACGATTGTAATTCGATTGTGATTGACAAAAAGAATTTGTTGATATACTGTAGTGTAGCAGATTTTATTAAATTTCATTAATTTTGTTATTTTATTAAAAATAAAAAAGCATTTATGAGTATTACGATTATTATTAGGATTTATATGTTGCAAGCAAATCTATTATTGGATTTTCTGATATATTTTCTAATATTATTATTAAATTTATGTTATTTAAATCTAAAATTATGTTAAAATGAAAATTATATTAGATATATATGTGCACATTAATTTTTAACTTTTCCTTAAAATTTATTGTTTTTAATAAATTACGAAAAATTTAATCTTTTAAAGAAATTGCAACACAGTTTATTACAAATTTCTTAATAATAAAATTAATATTAGAAATTTAATAAAGAGTAGTTATACAAGCTAAAATTATTACAAGCTAAAATTTGACAAATAAATATAGTAATTGATATGCCCTGCCGTTTCCTTTTAAAAAATAACATGTTATTCAATTGCGCGTTGCATTGCGCGTTGTGTTTCTCAGGTGATTATTTCCGAAAACACGTAAAAAACAAAAGAGACGGAGGAAAACTGCCGATCATTCCATTCAATCAATCGTTGCGATAGAGAGGCTTCTTCTTCACGGTTGGAACGCATAAAGAGCAGGCAAAGGATATATGATTATATACGTGTAAAAAGTGTATACTTCGCGTACGTAGGTACGTAATGTACAGCTTAAATCGTCGATTCTGGTCAGTCGGTCCTCGACCGCTCACAAACGAACGTACGCGCTCGCGTGCACCTCTGCTTTAATCCTTGCGTGTGTTCTCTCTATTGATGTTCTGAAAAAAATCGCGATGACTGATGCGCCGGGTTTTCGCACGGGCGCCTCGCGAAGGTAGAAATTATCCGCGAAGCATTACAGAAACGAAGCGCCGAGCGAACGATACAGATCTAAACTGCAACGCGTAAATTTCAAAAAAAGAGAAAAGAAATCGATGGAAATTTTGTAATCAGTTACAATCTTCTTATTAAACTCGATAAAAATCGTGATTAAACAAAAGCTATTGTGCTATTTTATTAGTTGCATAGGTCGAATGATTGCTAATTAATAATTGTTCACTATGATTGTAGAAATATTTCCCTTAAAAGACATACAATCATTTCTAAAATTGTTATTACATATTGCTTGTATTAACAAATCTAAATTACAAGAGAAATATTTCTACAATTATTGTATTATCATAAAAATTATAATTATAATTATAACAAATCTAAATTATAATAAATATGAACACGTTTTAGATCTATATTATTCTCGGCGTTTCTCGAACACAAATGTTTATCTAAGGGTGATTAATGGATTAAAAACTATAAAGAGTAACGTAAGTGTAGCGTATATTGACCGTTAAAATCAGAAATGTAGGAATAGCGAGATAATAAGTTATATAGTGTAAAATGCTAAGGATTAACGCAGCAAACGACTACCTCCTAATATATTGTACATCTCGTTATTGTTAAAACAGAACTCATTATCGCTAATTTGGTTCGAGACAAGCTTTGCCAGCTAATGAATGATTAATCATTGCATCGAAAGATTAATTACTTATCTCGATGCTGGTGACTGTTTTGACAATAATTCACAACGTACGAACGAAATTCGAGTATGCTCCGTAAATTAGCGATATATTTTTATGTATGTAAGAATGTCGCATCCTTGAAACACGAAGACGTTCGTTTTGAGCGGCCCGAAACAATCCTTGTTCCTTTACACAGTTTATTCTCGATTTACGATATTAATAGATTCTTGAGAAGATTATTATTGCATATCTAAATAAAATTTCGTAAAAGAAAAGAATTTTTTAATTTAAATAATAAATTTCAATTTTATTATACATAAACATTACGTAAAATAAATGTTTACAAAGTATTATTTTAATTAGTTTCAAATTTTAGTGAGCTGAAAAATATACAGGCTGTCTCAGTTATATTATATTATTAAATCTAGATTTCTCTAATTATTGTTAGGAATAATTTAATAACGCAAATCGAGATATAATATGAATCGCATTTATTTGTTCCGCTTTTAAGAATCGATAAAACACACATATACAGACACTGTTATTACATTTGGAACTCTTGGATCTCGGTTGACCTGTTAAGCACTACCGTCCGTGTGTTATACTTGCGCATAAAGTACTATTATTATAAATATAATAGACGTTATGTATAGATATCTGTATAAAATACCATAACTGGCGAAAGTTTCCAGTGATGCGAAAGGAAAAAAAAATGAAAATGGAGGAAGAGGAGAATAAGCGAGAGGTCGACGAGATCGAAAGCGAAGATCGATATTTTTAGATAATTTGACGAAAACGGAAGTTAGATGAAACAAAAGTAACGTTAATTATGATTATCATTATCATCGTTATGATTATCGCATTGGAATGCTAGGGTGGCATAATGCGCGGAATGCGAATCACTTATACAAAAAAAAAAGGAAAGGAAAGCAAATGATGAATTATTAAGAAGAGCTGTATTTTAATAATATACTTTACACATGTAAAACACGCTCATCAATGTCTGAGTGCTTTTAGAAGTTCTAGGGCTTGACGCATTTTTTCCTTAAATAACGACAAAGATGTTTTAATAGTAGTGCGTATCGGTGTTTCTGTGAAAGATGACCTGCAGTCAGTATATACATATATTATAAGTCAGTATACACGCGCGCGTGCACGCGTGTGTGTATACTTATAAGACTTATAAGAAAAAAAGTGCGCATCAGTCAAGTAATAAAATTATTTGAAATTTATCCAATTTGATATTAGGGAAACTACTTTCATGCATCAAATACGACACTTTTTTGAGCTATTAGCTATTTTAATAATTATAAAAATAATTATTAAAAATTGCTTAAACAATATTTCAAAGAAAGAGGATTTAAATATTAAATAATATTTAAATAATTTTTCTAAATGGAAAAGGCTATTAAAATATTGGATAATTTTTTAGTGTTTGATATTATTTGAATTTCAGACGCGCGATTGATGCAATCGCTAGGTTAACACAATAAATTGTGTAGTTGATTTATTATACATGTGAATTGGCAATTTTATTTTCTCTTTTATACAATCGGCTTTCTGTCTCGTCGATGCTTATTAACCCTTAAATACAGACGGAATTTTTTAATTACACTGGTATAAACTGTTGACTTCCCAGATTACTCACGATTTTGAGAATTCTTCTGTTATTCTTTCTGCCTGCACATATAAGTTTTACACATCAATTCTGCACGAGTCTTGAATATTTTATCTAAGTGGTTTGTATTTAAGGGTTATTTCGCTTGAGCGTGCGGTTTAACGTAAAAAACGGGAAATATATTTTTGGAGATTTTTATGTTTTTGAGACAGTTATGTGTACACACATTTCTCCATTGATCCTCCCCGAAAATCGGAGTGTTAATTACGCGATCTGACGTGAGACTAATGAAAATCAACATGTAATATAATGCATAATGCTTATAATTATTTTATAAAAGATACTTATTGATCGATCTACATGTACTAATCTCTATTTGCTATAATCTCGATTATTGCGGGAAACAAAACCATAACATTTTGTCCGAAATTTGACTTTAAGGCGTCTCGAAGATATTTGTCATGTAATTATATTTCTTAAAGTGCGAAGATAATTTTATTTATCAATCGATACGAGCAAGCACCGAAATTGTTTTACTATGATTAACGAGACACGATAAGTGTAGTTAATTTAAACAAGCGATTTGAATGAATAACCAATATCATTTTACGGTAGAAAACAACTGGAAGAATGTGATGTCGAAGTGATAAAAGTTGCATTTTGAAAAGCTCCAATATTTCTCAAATTTAAGTTTGTATTTAAAGATTCTGTTTACTTTATATCCTTTATTCTTGCACGTTGTCAAATGATGTTGATTAACCTTCGGTTATCACATCTTTTTTTTTTATCAAGATTGTCAGATGAGGTCAAATTGTCTAGATCAATTTTTAAACAGTTGCCGTTTAAAAACTAACAATTTAATTGGATCGCAAAATAAGTCGGATTATGTGAAGTAGAGTTTGAACATTGTAGAATTAAAGTAGCATCATATTGGAAAAGAGATTTGAAACTTCTATCTTCAAAGTCGAAAATTGGGGTTGTCTGTACCCCTGCGACAACCGAAGGTTAATTTTGATTGATACCACGGATATATAAATTCGCATATATATTGTATGGAATAATCAATCGTGATCGTAGAGATTTGTATATGAATGACCGCGTACGTTGCATTACTTTCGTGCGGTGCTGCTAACCGAGAATCGTATTTTTGTATTCGCGGAAAAAAATTAATAATCTATATTTTAAACGAACACGGTGCGGCACGGCACGGCAATATACGAGGGTTGTGTCCAACTGTAATTTGAAATGTATGTAATACAGTTCGTACGATGGACATATGTTAAGCGTTGTAAGTACCCACGAGTTTCGACTGTACTTGCGAATTGTAACGCCCGTATAGAAGCTTCTCGATGATCAAAATCAAGCTCTTGAGAGAAACGTTAAGAGATCACGCTAATTAATAATTCGTCTAATTTAAGTGATTACCGTTACATCTATATACGTATACTTATATCGCATAGAAATCGTAACTCATCGCCGTTCGATCGATCGAACAAATATTTTTCAAATCACGTAGATCGTAAAACGTGTACAATCTACACCGGAATCAATGGCGATCAGCCGTGTGTACAAAATATAATATTAATGCGGTTTCCTTTTTCTCTGTCGATCAAATTTTTTTCAACTTTATGATGATTTCGTTGCCGTTCGCCGGAGAGCGATGACGGTCTGCTCATTATGACGATTCTCTTTGGCGAAAATACAAAGGACTGAGATGCAAACGCGTGAGTAGATAATTTTTCAAAAATTTTATTTCTAAATTTTTTAAATATTTTGTAATAAATAATTAATAATCAAAGAATTAAATTTATGAGTATTTATGTTTTTTAAAGCGACTGAAAAGTGCTTAAAAGAATTATAATATGAGATAAGAATGTGAATTACACGTTTTTATTTCACACAAATTTTAATTCATTAATAATATTAAATATTTTTTTCAAAGCTATACAATTTTAAAATTTTTTAGTAGAATGTAAATTTATTTTAATGAGAATCAAATATGTAAAAATATATTTTTTGTTTCTATCTATTTTATCTATTTATATTTATTTCTATATTCAATAATTATACCTTCTCTTGTAGTTCTCAAATTAGTTTTTATTCACATGACAATTAACTCATTTAATTTTCATTTATAATTTAAATTGTATGCAGATAAAATTTTTTATAATTCGAAAAGTATACGCATAAGCGAGTATATTCACGTGTTTGTTCCTCGGTGTTCCATGTAGAACACGATACACTTGTAAATATAGACAAGTACAATAATTGCCAAAATAATTCGAGGCTCAAGATCGAATCTCGATCTTCGGTCTTTCCGCCGATGCCGATCCAACTGGTGGCAAATAATTCGCGATCACTTCCTACTTACTTGGCCTTCGTCTGCACGCGAATAGCGCATACGAATTTCCGTTACGACTAGTTTTGATTAATCGACGTGATTAGCGATTAGTAGTAGTTAAATAGTTGATATCTTCGGACTGCGAATTATTTGCCGACCGCCGCTGTGTAAATTAGGCGACGTAAAATCGCGACGACTTGCGAAAACCGAAACGTAAAGACTGTTCTGAAACTGAATACTGCCGACAAACTTAAAAATACATCACATGCTCTTTTTTGGAGATATACTCTGTAACTGCCTACTGATTCTGCCCGATGAAACTCGTTCTTCACTGCCACATAGAACCACAAACATATTTATCTTCGTCGATATGATGTTCGAAGTTTTATTTCGATTGTCATCGAGGAAAGATATATCTTTCCGTTGCCGTTTCCTACATCCAGTATGTGAAATGCATTTAAGATTCTCTATATACCCACACAATTTTCGTCGCAATTTTACGGGTTCGCTTCGACGGTAACTTTGCATAATGTTTCTCGGCGCTTTATAATCTAAAAAGAATTGATCATTGGCGAATACGCGGGATATACCGTAATAATATATTTTAGTGAGCGAGTGAATGAGTGAACGAATGTGCGAATAAAATCGTATGTTTGCGCGCGCGTGTGAGAGAGCGAAAAATTTATTGATAATGTATCTGTAAATCCGTAGTCCCCGGCGTATAGCGTCGACGATATACCACGGTTTTACCTAATTAATCAATGTAGAATCCTTCGGGGAGGAATTATAATTGCTAGTCTTTAATTATGCGATATGCCCTCGTATAGAACTTTTGTCTTGTCGTTGACGCGAATGTACGCGTGCATATCGCAAGAAATGAAATGCGAAAAGTGAGTATATGACGAAGAGATACTCAAAAGAGGCAGAGTGTGAAAATATAAATTGCCATTTTTTTATGTAGACAATATTGTAATTACAATTACGTATTCACAATTACTATTATTTTATTATATTGATATTATTATCGCTACTGTAAACTCTTCATTAGATTTGAAGCTTAATTGTAATAATAGTAATTATAATTAATTATTAATTATGGCTAACTTTTAGAACTTTATATTATACGTAAATAGCAAATTATGATTGTAATAATTGCGGCTTTGATTTTTATACATAATATTTTATATATACATATTATAAGGAAGGAAAGAAAAGAAACACGCATACACACGATTACTCTTCAAGAAACGTAAGTGTATTTTGATATAGAGCATGTATGCTATATTGTGTATAAGTGTGGTAAGAATAATTTTACGTATCCGGTCTGTACGAAAACCGGAAGAACGAATTTTATGATACCTTTGCGTAACTCTCGTTGTGAGTTGGCAACCCGTTTGTTTTCTTTATCTCTATTTTATTTCTCGGCAAATGAGAGTATTAGAAAGGAAGCTCGAATTTATTTAATTGTATTTTGTTATTGACGAATTGTATTGTCCTAAATTGATATTTAGTTGGGAATTAGTTTCCGCAGAGAAAATTTATACACCGAAAATCGAATGTAAGAAATTTAAACAGCAACTGAATAATTTGAAATAGCTTGCGTAAGCTACCTTTGGCGAACGGACAATTACTGTTTAAGTTAATGGACATTTTTTTACAACAGGCCAGTAGCAAAAGCTTTCGAATTGTAATTGTAATCTCTCGTGGTAATCGTCTTCTTCGATGTGAAATTTTCGCAATTTACCTGATTCTCGAACTGACGTGCAAATTGTATATCGTTTTTATTTGAATGCAACTCGACCCTTCTTCGGGGCGCTGTATTACGTCCTCGATTAAGGCTGTAAATAGGAAGTACCAGATACTCGTTGAGCCACGAACTCAAGGTTCCCAGTAACTTCCGACATTTAAGTGCCTAAAGACCCAGATACACGTCTATTCTCTTCGTTGTCTAGTTTCTACAGTTGGATAAGGTACTGCTTGTCAAAATGACACAACGACAAAAACTAGCGCTTGTCTGTCGCGTGATAAATTCTTTTCCCGGAATATTCCGTCGCAGAATATTTGTTTAAAATATTATAATGGGCATTTCACAAAAAAAATTAAGACAAATTGCACTTTCCTCGATATTCCAATTGAGTAGGATGTACAAATGAGAGTAATTCCTTTCATATTGCATTCTTTGCAATATCTACGGTACCTGTGAAAATATTGCAATAGTTGTAACTTTAAAAAGGGCGGTTGCACAATTTTACGAGCTTTTTACGCATCTTTGTTTTGTACATTTATTAAATTATATTTTTAGATTGTTATAAATTTCCTTGAGTTGCTAAATGAACATTGATGTATATAGCATAGAACAATGTACAAACTATTAACCCTCTGATGCTTTCCAGTTAAAATGGTTTTACAGGACGTGCATCATTTTCTTGGTCTTATAATTTAAAGCTTGATTTATTATAATTTTGTTTAAGGATTTATCGATCTACTGAGGTCATTCTTTATTCTATATTTATTAGATTGTGCACTACAAATAATCAAACAAATCCCAGTTGACAGAGGGTTAAACAAAGACGTTATGCTCATCTATGACAAACGATATGATGCGCCGAACATTTGCAAGACCAAGAGAAGATGCAATAAGTAATAAAACGAACAAAATAAAAAAAAAGATCTGTACGTATATCTCTACGAAGATCGAGCTTAGGGTATATACACTAGAAATCATTGGCAGCGCTTTATCCAACTACGCTAGTTTTTACATCGCAAAGGACGAGAGACTGTCGCACGACACCCTCAACAGATCTCAGCACTCCGGCGAAACGAACAAGGATCATTTATTTTTTAATCGAACTCGCGCAGAAGGGCCAGCTCGTTTCCGTGGAGTGCGCCTAACGAATAAATAATTATATATTATAAATAAATAAATGAATGAATATAAATGCATATATACATATATATACAGATGCGCGTGCGTGTACATACACATATATATGTAAATCTAAGTGCGGGAACCTTGAGGCGCGTGGGGCAACGAAAACAAAAAAATCCTCGAAAGTGAAAGCGCCGGAAACATCGTCAGTCGATGTTTTTGTTTTTGAGGATGCAAGAGTCAATTTTTCGATTGCGTAAACAAAACCCCTGCATCACTGTAACATACCTCTATAGCACGTCTCATAGTTTAATTAGCCCTCGGGTTATCGGTCGTTTAAATTTTCTCAGGCACAGGAAAGCGCGGTACCTTCGAATATACATATTTATTTTTCTGACTAGAAAATCGAGGGATTGAATAGGGATAAGAGAGGTAGAAAAAGAGGGGGAGAGGATATGAACACTTTGCGAGCGGTGTTTGGTAATCCGAGGGTTAAGACTGATTCTACAAGCGCGTTATAAAAAATGCTAGACCGAGCATATTTTATAATTATACTGTCATTATTATTGTTTGTAATTATACGATTACTATTGAATTTGTTTTTAATAAACGGCAAGTGCCATGATTACATATATGGGCTGCAGCATAATTGTTCTTAGCCAACCTTTATTTTGGTAAGTGGTAAGTTGTAATATGATATGCAGTACATAAGTCAAGTCGTTAGATTGTTTTTATAAGAACACATATTATTTTTTAAATAAAAATATCAATACTAATCGTAAAAGAATTGTTAAAAGAATTATGAAAGAATTCTACCTTTCAATAGACAAGTATTGATTTTATTATTAGTACTTTTCTCATCAAGAAATTGATTATATGCATAACAAAAAACTGACATTGAATTTACTTGCTAGTAAAAAAATTGATGAACAGTTGGTTTATAATAATAGACAAATATTTTTCCCAGGATTAAAAGTATCTAATTTTTGCATTATGTTTTTCGATTTCTTTTCAGGCCGAAGTTCATCTGTGTTTAAATGTGTTTATCATTCTTCGTCGCTGAAATCAAATATATCATCCCTGTTTCTGTTTAAATTACTATTAAAGTTAATATTACTATTCATATTTTGATTGTGCGCTTTGGATAAATGTGGATCGCCACCACCGAAAGAACGTCTATGATATCGATCAGCGTTAATATTCGCGTTTATGTTCTCATTAATATTAGCGTTCTCGTTCTGATTCTTGTTTTTTCTTCGATGTTTCAGCTTTTTTGGCCTTAAGAGCTGCTGGATATCATGTTCCAATGATCTCCGAATGTTGGAATTTGGTCCATTGGATTGGATCTGCAATGCAATTAATGTCCAGATTCCTTAATTTTTAGAATAAATTGATTATAACAACTATCTGCATAAAATAGATTAACACACACAAGAATTTGTATGAAAATAATAAAACTTAAACTTTCTGGCTACAGTCATCAAAAAATTGCTACAAGGTATTTTTGTCGATGTATATACAAATGAAAATAATTATTTTTTTAAATATATACTACATGAAAAGAACAGAAATTATATTTTATATTAATAAAATTGATAGCTAATATTTTGTTAACTGCTTTTTTCATATTTTTTATTATATATTCTACTAGTACCTCATTGCTTTCATTACTAGCTGTTAAATGTTCACTAAGCAGGCTAATTAGTTTCTCGGCTGG